AGGACCATGACCGTGACCGTGACACTTTATATAAACACTGTCATTTCCCACTTTTAAAAAGTAAAACTTGGGGCTGGAGAGATAGCACAGTGGGTAGGGCTTTTGCCTTGCACATGGCCAACCCGGGTTCGATTCCCAGCATCCCATAAGGTCCCCCCCAGCATACCAGGAGTAATCCTGAGTGCAGAGCCAGGAGTAACCCCTGAGCATCACCGGGTGTGACCCAAAAAGCAAAAAAAAAAAAAAAAAAAAAAAGTAAAACTTGAAGGTAGGTGTCAGAATTACAAGAAGACAGAGAAACACGCCAAATGCTACCAAGAGGATTCAATGAGAATAGCCTATCCTTTGTGGATAGCTACAGAGAAAACCATTTGGTTTCTTTAACATATGAATTGCAGTGGGGTGGGAGGAAATCCTGCAATAGAACCTGTGCATATTTAATAGACACATATTATCCTCAGCATGTGAACTATATTTGAAAATTGCTTCAAACAAAATATAAAAATATGTATAGCATTTTTGTAATAACAGAAAATTTTTAACACTGACTTCGTATTTCATGTTTTCAAAACATTATTGTTTGGATGTGATGATAGTTATGTTTAGAAAATCCTTGTCTTTTAAAAGTTTATGGGTGAAATGACACAATTTCTGGGATTTGCTTTAAGATAATATTTGTGGAAAAAAGGAAGACAGTACTGATGGGTTGGCCAGGCTGGGTCGATGGACAGTTGGGTTCATTATGATTCTTCGTCTACTTTTATGATGTTTTAAATTTTCTATAAAATCCAAGAACATGCAATCATATGCAATGAGTATTTTGGTATAAGTTTTATGTATATGTGTATATAAAATCTGCTGTAAGGACATAAAACAAGATGTTAATGGTAATTATCTCTGGATGATAGAATTGTGAGTGACTTGGTGAATTTTGTCATCTTGATTCTACTTCTTATTCTGTGTTCTTATACTGACACATTATATATAATCAGGAAATAGGTATTTTAAAATAAATATTTTAATTGTTTAACTATCATTTTCACAATTGTAGACTTCACTTCTGACAGTGAATAAGGTAACTTTGTACTATTCAAATATAATTGGCAAAATTATTTAATATCCAATTGTATTTCATTTTGAGTAGGCACAGATAATAAAAATACAACCTAAAGCTTGAGGTTTTGAAATTCTGTCATTTGGTGTAACAGGAGAATCTTAAATTTATAGCTTAGAGTAAACAGTTAATTCCCCCACCCCCCCTTCTTACATAACAGAAAAACAACTGATCCAGTTTGGCACAAACTTTCTCCTCCAAAGTCACCTTTGTGCTGAAATTCTGCACCTCAGCTTTTGGTCAAATAACTGGCAGAGGGGAAAAGATTCCTTAACAAAATTTTCTTGTAATTTTACTACGGCGCTAGTTCTTGGCTACTCGGGAGAGTTATTCTTTTACTCAATTAAATGGGTTGGGGGAGTCTTGCTGTGCTCCCCTAAATTCTGAAATGCAGAGCGTGCAAACACCTTTAATCAGTCCTTTGGCATGATCTAAATTAACGTAAAACCACGACAGGAGATACAATTAATGAATAAAATAGTTAACGCATATTTTTAGCATACTGATACTTAAATCAAAGCACTGCAGGTTTTTTTCAAATTATAAGAAAATCTGAAATTTTAAAACCAACATATAAAAACAAATGTTTTGTCATAACACATGAACCTATAATATTGACATTATCATCTGACTGTTCTATAAACAAATAACTGTCCCTACAGTTACTTGAAAATCGATATCATGTATCTAATTTTTCCTTCTTGTATTCACAGGGAACTTTCTGCCGGAAAATCAGTTCGTTTCTGTTACATATTAACAAATCATCACTCAAGTAATAATGTGTTCTCAGTGTAGACGTCAAAACAAAGTCATTATTAGATAGTTTTTCATTTGGAAATGAAATTTCCTGATTTAACAAATATCTAGAGGGGGCAGAGTGATAGTACAGTGGGCAAGGCACTTGCCTTGCATGCGGCAGACCCTGGTTTGATTTCCGGCACCTAGTATGGTGCCCCAAATACCCCCAGCAGTGATCCCTGAGTGCAGAGCCAGGACTAAGCCCTGAGCACCGCACCACTAGGTGTGACCCCAAAACAAACAAACAAAGGAACAACAAAATGGAAAAACAATCCAAAAAACCCAACTGTCTAGAACCAAAGTATCAATCTGGATCTATCGCCAAAGCTTCTTCTAAATCCAATCCACACCTGCAACTATGTACCCAGCTTTGTGCTAAATAACTTCCTATGGAATTGCAATTGTAAGGGACAATAATCCCATGAAAGAGTAAACTGAAGAGTAGCAATTGCAGTTGCACTTGTTTTTGCAATCGCAATTGTTTCGTTTCCATATTTGGGCTATGGATTCCTGATGACTGTGCCTTGTGCCCGTCCTTGAGCTATGCGTAATAAATAGGACTGGACCTCTTTCTATAAAGAGGTCCAGTTCGAAGGCTGTTTGTACCATTGAGTTCTCTGCCTCCCCCACACTGGATGGCACACAGGAGGGGAAATTATTCCTTATCCTCTGAGGAGCAGCAAGCCAATATATGTTCTGTTCATGATGAAACCAATGAGGAAGCATGAGCGAGATGGAGCGATAGCAGAATGGGTTCTTCACAACAGCAAAACGGCCACTACACTTTGCTATCTGGTCTTTGAACAAAGAAAGTTCTAACATCTTTAAGCCTGGGAATAATAAACTGTATTTTTGGGTTGTTATTATTATTATTATTATTTGGTGAACAACAGATTAAAGGTCAACCCGAGAAAGTTGATTCTTGGCATACTTCCGACCAGGGTCACTCGTTTCATCCGAATGAGCTCAAAGTTAAGAATGAAAAACCTCAACTTTAGAAAATGACACGTTTGAAATACTGAAAGTTCTAATTAGAGGTAACATTCAAAACACCAGTCCAGTTCGGTCTGTTCCACCCATTCATTCTATGGACTTCAAGAAATCCCATTTGTTTGGGAAGTGGGTTTAAAAAAAATTACCTTCAGCCAAAATTACGTCATGGAATATGTTAGTAAAGAAGTTTCTAATTTCTGTAGACTCAGTGATAAAAGGAAAATTATGTTTGTAAGACTCTGGCTACCTGGTAACTTAGAAATATTGTATCTAAGAATCTTAAAATTTCACAGGTGAAGTGCTTGATGCAGTTGAAAATTCAAACAGAATTTTCTAAAGCCGGTCCTTGTTTCAGCTATTAACACAAGAGAATCATTCTGATGGGCATCAACTAGAAATCAAATGGATTATCCCTATAAGTTTGCTCAAGCATGCCCACTAGGAATATTTTATGTGTGAGACATAAATATAGGTTACACGGTACGGTGTGAGGGGACTTGAATTAAAGGATCTTAAAAATAAATAGGAACAACAAAAATAAAACATGACTAACTCTCCTGCCACCATCAAAACAAATGTTTCCAAGACCCAAAGCCAAGAAAGTAGGAATCCATAAACACAAAGGCTGAGATAATCAGTTGAATGTGCTAAGTCTCCATTAATAACTAAACAAAACACCAAACATCAAACCACCCCCTTCCCAAACACCACCTGCTTTGAAGAAAGAATATCAAACTATGTTGACCTTTCACCTCTACACCTCCAGTTTATTTTTAAATGTACCAAATCTCTTAAAATTAAGGGAGTGGAATATTTTACAAAAGTGAAAGGTTTGATTACTTACGTCAGTCCCACTTTAGGTGAAGTAGTGATTACTGAAGGACGGGTAACCCACTTCATTCATTTTAATAACTAATTCATTCTCAGATTGCCACAGAACCAAACTCATTTAGTTATTAAGTCACGATATTTTTTCAGTCTAAGAATTTTTTTTTTTACTTTGGAGAGAAAGCCTGGACAATTTAAGCAATTTTATATTTAATTTCTCTGTCTCTCCAGTCTCACTCTTATATAAGGTATTGAATGCAATTTCTTTCATTCTTAGTGTTTTACATTGCGTTGTCTTTAGAAAAACCTAGACTAGATCTTAAGAGGCTCCCAAGTTGGTGGCTAGTTCGTATGAAATAAATAAATAAATAAATAAATAATCACTACAGTCCATATTTTTGGCATGGAGAATAACAGACTAAATTCTGGCTGTCCTGAAAATTCTCTGTAGAACAGAGAAAAAGCTTGTCACTGATTGTGTTAGTGCATAGTCTAGATTTTATTCTACCTCTCTCCAAACACTTCCATGAATGTCTGACCCACACACTTGTTTCTTCATCTCCATACACATGATTTCTTTTCATTTGGAGGCAATATTGCTTAAAGAGCAAGGTCAGGAAAAGAAAGCTAAACTTGGCATCAGAATCCAGGTGTGAATTCCAGCTCTACAGGGAACCAGTTAAAGGCAATTTAGCACAGTGGGTAAGTGTGCCTGCAAAAGCCAGAAAGCATAGGTGAAAATCCTTGGTTTCTCCACTTTCTAGCAAGGTGTCCTGAGGCATTATTGATCTCTTGTGCCTCAGTTTTCTTCTTTGTAAAATATCCATGATATCAAGAGTGATCACATGGGATTGTGAAGATTGAATGTCTTTAAAAGGTTTAGAACAGAACCTTAACCACTGAGTATTTTAAACAGAGTATCCTAAATCCTCAATAAATGTTAGCGATTATGACTGCTAGCCTGACATTGGGGAATACACCCAACTTCCAGAAGACTCTGTTTATGTTCTCTCCAAAGAAGTCAGAGCCTCTACTTGGTCTTTATGGAGACCAAATAAACTCTCTTAACATTTACAACAATCACTTAAAAAGTATATTCAGGTGTCAGAAAACACCTCAAACCAAGTAGTACTTCTTTTTTCTCCGCTATGCATCTTAAGACACAAAGATACATACACACACACACACACACACACACGCACATACGCACACACACGCGCACATCTCCTATAGCACTTATCACACTGCATCATAAGAATTAGCTTACCTGTCCATCTTCCCACTAACAGTGCATCCTCTGATTCACCTCTGCGCCCTCTGCACGTTGGACATACCTGACACAGGATAGGTACTCAATAAATATTTGTTTAAATGAATATTGTTCAAATGACAGAGCAGGAATTCTCAAGGCCTTTTCCAGAATGATAGAGTATTTTTGCCAAGTACTCTCAGTAGGACCACCCAGAAATGTGCTTGTTTTGTCTCTGGCACAATATATTGAGATTCTGTCATTTTTAATGCAGCCAATCTTACATCGTTATATTCACTCATCCTCTGACTTGATAAATAATCATTAAGCACCAGTGTACCTGGTCCTATATGGGACACCATATGGTACACCACAAGTGGAAGTGCCCAGGCTAATTTAGACCCTCTGTACTATTTCAAAAGAACCTAATGATTATGGAATGAGTTACCGCCAGAGATAGTAAACTTGTTGGCTGAATTACTTCATCAGTGAAATGAATCTCAGGATGTGAAAGAATTGTTTTTTACTATGAGAGACCTTAGAGATTAATGAGGGTCAGGGATCTGACTGCCTAAACCCAAATCCTTTCCCTGTTTTGTACAAGGGATAAGCTAATGACTAGTTAGGAAAGGCCTCTAAGCTTTATTTACTTTTCCCATATGTAAGAGAGAGCAAGAGGGTTTGATGTGAATATTTGAAAAATGACCCCCTGATTGGAACAATAGGGCTTATCTTTCATGCAATCAACCCAAGTTTGATCCTGGGTATCCCATATGGTCCTCTTCTGTACTGGAGTGATTCCTGAGCACAGGGCCAGGAGTAAGCCATGAGCACTACTAGGTGTGGCCCCAAACATAAAATAAAATAAAACAATGATCCCCATCAAAAGTCATCTGTTATGGCAGCACATAATATGCACTCAGTATGTATTGGTTATTGCTATTAATTTAACTCCTCACCATAGGGTTCAAACTTCTACCACAAATATACCCAGCATACGGTGCATGAATGCCAGGCTTGAATACCATCAAGGTTTTACTACCTCCAGGACGTGTCCACCTGTTTGCTGGGTACATTTAATTATTGACAAATTCCAGTGGGTTGACTATACACGGTAACATTTGCTACTCATGGACCCTTAATCTATCATCTGGGATTAGGCAGAAGAAATCAAAACTCTCTTTGGTGGACAAGCCATTCTAACTCTGAAGGCAATTGAGGACCCATAACATACCCACTCACCATCTTAAATCCTGTCATCAAGTTTATATGACACAGTTGACCAGATATCTTATGTTTCTTTTTACCTTTCTTGAATGGACTTTTTCTTTTTTTTCTTTTTAATTGTGGTGGGGTACACTGCTACGGGTGCGGGCCATGGGGAGGCAGTCCTGAAAGGAACCTGGGGCTGCCGCACATGTAAGCCAGATAACTTGAGCCACACCCCAGGTCCTTGAATAATCTTTTTTTTTTTTTTTACCATAGTTCCTGCTTTAAGAATAAAGATCAGAATTCAAAAAAAAAAAAAAAAAAGAAGAAGAAGAAGAAGAAATGGGGCCTGATAACTGGTATGCACTAGTGATAATACAACAAACAATGGATTTGGAGTGGGGGGAGGGTCAAGTTGCTTCATCATCTACTCACAATCAACTGTGAGCATCCCATCCCCAACTTGTCCTTAAACAATGGAATTGGGGGACCACTCTATATTGGCCTCCATTAGACTTTGTGTTATTAGATATGATTCACTATTAGGTTTTGCAGGGATTTGGCTTTGAGGGAGGAGTCCTGATTGAATTACCCAATTCAATTTTTGTCCTTCCGTGTCCTGTGTCATCTGTAGATTTTCTCAGCTTGTCATCAATGGTATCATTTTAATCACCAGTGAAAGTGGAAAAGTGAATAGGCTGTGAGCCACACTTGCTTTAGTTTCCTAGAAACCTGGCATCATAAACTTTTTCTTAAGTGACATAATGCAATGAGCAAATATTTACTGAGTGCCTATCAATGATCAGGTACTATCTCAAGTCCTGAGTTTATAGTGGCAAATGAAACAATCCCTGTCCTTATGAAGTTGGCTTTCTAGTAGAGGAGGTAAAGAACATACAAGAAGATAATGCTACAACTTTTATTTATTTTGGTTTGGAGGTGACACTTGGCAGTTCTCAGGGGTCACTTCAGTCATTACTGGGAAGTGAACCAGGGTCAGCCACAGGCAAGGCAAGTACCTAATTTTGGTACTATCTTTCTAGCTCCAATCCTATGTCTTTCAAAATGAATAAAAATTTCATCAAGATTGGGGCTAAAGAAAGTTGACGGTGACAGTGGCTAAAGTCAAGTACTTTTTAAGGTTGGTTTTTTTTTTCAGTACTAGGGATCACACCCAAGGTGTTAAACATACAAGGCATATGATTTAGTGCTGAACGATATCTCTGACTCCTGAGTTTCTTTTGAAATACCAGTGCCTCATGCACCAACCACATTCTCCATGTATATCTGACCCAGAGAAGGCCATTTTTCTGTTTTCTCAAAACTCTCTTGTGTTGGTATAGATCATATTAAGGGGACGTGGGTAGAAAACCGATCAAGAATTCATGAAACCAAAAACAAGAACATTTGAAAGGAAATAATTCCCCAGAAGACTTCCAACACCTTCTCCCATGAAAACACCATTCCAAGATTGGCAGGTGGGAGTGTATGGGCACACACAAGCAGGGAAGTTATACTCCTGATGAAGTCTCCAGAGAGAAGAATTTTAGAATGATTGCTCCTCAAATATGGCATGTGTTGGGAAATTGAATAATAGAGGAAGAGAACAAACAAACAAAAAACTTACACTCACCTTATTCCAATCCCCATGTTATCAAGTATGGAGTGAGTTATGAATCCAATAATTTATGGAAAGGCAGTAGGATGAAACACATGACCCCCAAGAACACAGCTCAAAGAGTCTGGATACTGAACTCTGCAAAGGAAACCCAAATAAGACAAGTTTGAAATCTATCAGTTAACTTCTATCTATTCTGCATTCTAATGTGGAATCTAATTTTTCTAAATAGTTCTAGATAATCTTCAAATCTTTTTCTTTTTCTTTTTTTTGCTATTAGGGAAATTTGACAAATCTTAATAAAATCCTAACTTCATTTTCTGGCTGGATTATATACATTTGCTTGGGACACTATTGATCAAATCCAGGTCTTTGTACCAAATTTCACCATATAGTTGTTGCATATTCTATGCTAATTTTTTGGTCCCAAAATAGTTTACAATAATTGGGTGATGCTTTTAAAAAATGGTCTACAATAATTGGGTGATAAATAAATTTTTGTACTGAAAAAAACAGTACAATTATTGTGTAGTGGCAGCCACTATTGGTGAAATATGGTATATACAAATATGCAAAACATGTTCTCTACCACTGAGGGACATTCCTGGCCTGGAAACTTACTTTATATTATGATATATTGAACATGTCTATTGCATTCTTCATTCACTATCTGTTTTGTATCAAATGCTTTGCGTCTGCAATGAATCTAAAGGTAAATAAGATGAACATGGTAATTGTCTATGGAGGGGCAGCAGAAGGCCAAACAGAAAAAGGAAAGTAGTTCTGATTACAGCAATGAGTGCCTTGTTGGAATGTCCCGAGAGTTCAAGAAGGGTCATCTGACCCAGACTTTGGAGGAACTGGGAGTTTGTGACTTCTCCATAGAGATTTATTTACAAGGTGTGATGGATGTCGTTAACGAAAGAGATGGGGCAAGGCTGTTCCAAGTGAAGGCCAAGCAGGTGCACATTTTAGAGTTGACAGAAATGGTCACATGTTGAGTGTTTGAGTACTGAAAACAGTTCTGCCAAGTTGAGACAGCATCGTTAGTGATGAGAGTAGAACAGAAAGTGGAGGGCTAAACAACTCAGAAACATACAAGCTGTGTCATGGAGGAGATGGAATCTACTGAAGTCTGTGATGGCCAGAATGTTGGAGATTGGAAGGGAGAGAAGTCAAGACTGCTGTACAGAGAGTTTTTGGCTCCGACAACTGGACCACCAGTGGCATGGTTCACTAGGGAGGCAAATATGCACATACTAAAGAGCGGAGACTTGATGGAGAAGGAATTGAGTTTAGCCTTGGTGGTATTAGTATGCAATGTAAGGGGAACATACACAGAGAAGCAGTTAAGGGCACAGGCTTAGAAATCACCAGCACACAACAGGCAACAACAGAGTCAGATACTTCTCTTTGTGCTGTGAAGTGCATGAGACCTTGTGCTGTGTCAGGTCTCATGCACTTCACAGGACAAAGAGAAGTATCTGACATCACAGCAATTCCAAAAGTCTTACTTCCCACACCCTCTCTTGTCATCATAACCCTGTATCCCACACTCAGAGCCTTGTCATATAGCCAGCTGAGCGACAAAGTGAGGGAGTGTGGAATCCACTATGGCAGTCCTGTTCTCCCTCGCTTCCTTTGTGATGAAAATCTAGAGGTGATATCATCCATCCTGAAAACGACACATGTCTACACTCGTTGGGGTCCATTTATGACCTCCCAATTCATGTGACCTGATTTCTGCTTCCGATAATCTTGCTCTTGCCCACCTGCGTAACTATCTCCTTGGTGTTTGTATACTGGGTTGTAGCATAAATATGTCCCAGCTTGATTGCTGGGTAACATTTGCCTTTGTTAGTCATGGCCTACAATGGAAATGTGTTTTTCCCTTAACCTTTCTGATATCTACCCTTTCTCCTCTCTTGCCATCATAGCCCTGTATCCCAAGAATTAGCCCAGAAATCTCTGCCCTGGCCAATGCTCCTGGAGAGTGAAGAGGCATCAGCAGTAACTAACCTAAAGAGGCTGTAGTCATAGCTATAGCCTGAGCCTGGGAACTAAGAGTTGAAGCAAAGGCCTCACATGGTTCATCTGTGCCCCCAAATCAGTGACACAAACAGCTGCACGGCTTGAGTCCTTCAAGCATTACTTCTAAATTGTAATCATTATTGGATATTTATGTTCTAAAACTTCAACTGAAAGGCTCAACTGTCTTCAGTTTGTGATTACAGCAGAGGAGATAAAGGAAAGGGGTAAACATTATGCTAAATACAATATTTTGCCTTGTGTTCAGGCTAGCTAAACTGAGTTTTCAGCTGAAGATTTTTTTCTTTTCATTTCATCCAAGTCAATAATCATTTACCCACTGCACTGGGTATTGCTTAAAGCAGAGTTTTCATCTAATTCTCATTTAACAAGATCGAAAAGGGACAAACTAAATAATAATACCTCATTTGCGTATAATGGTTATCTTTCAAAGAAGACATTATAACCAATATTATACTATCTAATTTACAGTTGCAACATGTTGATAATGTAAATACTAGTAGAGGCCATTATCATTTTACAAATTACGCATGAAAGAAGCTGAGGCATGTGAGTTTAATGAAGCTTCCATTTCGGAGGTGTCATCGCTGGTTTATTTTCCACTTTTTTTTTCTACAGGAGGGAACCAGGTTTTAGATAAATGTGTTTATGAAGCTACTGCACTGGATACCTAGCCCTTAAATTTTAAACTGAAAAGTACCTTGTCTGAAAAGAAAGAATAATTTAAAAGTTCTGTACATCGAACATCTCTCCCAAATCTAGATCAAACCCAAGCAGTACCCAACGCTCAACTGTATGTTAACTGGCATGCTTCTCACCATCTTGTGCCACATGCATTAGAAGTTAATTACGTGTCTCACTCTCTTCTTCATATGCAGAATGCTACAATAATCTTGTTGTTCCAATTGGATCTGCAAAGCACTATGACAAGTACAAATTCTGTGCATATGTAAAATCACAAACAGTTTTATGCTTTTACTTGCTTTCATGGTGGGGGGAGGGGATGAGTCCCATTTTTCCTTTGCTTTTATTAATGTATTGATTCCCTCATTTATTCACTCATTAATATTCTCAAGCCTTCCTATATCCATTCTACAGAGATTGTTCTAAATGTACAATGCACATTCTAGATGCAAAAGATAAAAATAGAAGATGAAATGACTGGCTTCAGGAAACAGCCTATGGAAGGAGCCTGGTGTGCAAAGCAGCTATAGGCCAGCTTGGTAAGAGGGGGAATAACACATGAAGTGGTTGGAGATGGAGAGGGGGAACTGACTGTTGTCGGAAGGTGAGGAAAGCTTTAATGAACTCCAGATCTGTACCTGTTAAGAAGGGCCCCTGGTTATTTCAGGAAGGGGGCATACTTTTGGCACAACCACAGACAGACCAAGAAAGGACCTGAGGCAGTTGGGCCTCTATGGGAAATGGGATAGGATAGAAAGTTGTGAAAACATTCTGCCTGTCTTTATTTCACAGCACTGGAAAACGTGTCCTAGCCTTATCCTTAGACTTTTAAGTAGAAACTTACTCTACATGGTATCTGTACCATAGTGTCTTTTGAAACTGCCTATTTGAGGAATGTCATGCAGGGAACAATACACGATCAAAACTTGGATTCAGTTTACTCAAGGTCTATAGCATTTTGGGAAGGTGAAGATATATATTCCTGGCTCTATATTCAGGGCAACTTTTGGCAGTGCTCAGAGGGAAACAATAGGCAGTGCTGGAAATCAAACTATGTCAGCCACATACAAGGCTACCACTTAACCCCTGAACTATCTCTCCAGCTCTCAAGGTCTGTACCTTCAAAATTTCATCATGGTTCTGTTCTGGGAGTAGGGGAGTGGATAACAAGTAAGAACAATGTAACTATTCACCCAACAGAGGTGGTCTCAAAGCCCATTTGAGATCATTATCATTATCGTTTCCATTATCATTTCAGGCTAAACTTTTTTTCTATAGAAATACTTCCAAGCACTGCACTTTCAAACACACTATGCAGGATGAGTCTTGTTCTTCCCATTTGCTTCTTCTCAATCATTCAGATTTGGTGTGGCCCAGCCTCCAGATGGCTTCTTAACAGCAACTTCACTGGCAAGAGATGTTTGAAGATTGTCTCTGGAAAAACCTACACACTTCCCTGCAGGGAGAACTCTTCTCTGAAATCTCGGAGGGGTACTGCATGAGAGCCTTTAAGACTGGGGTTAGCAGGAGATAAAATGCAAGCACTCCAGCTTTCATATTGAATCTTCCCTAAATTATGCCTCCAGCCTTGGTAATCCCACTCTGAATTCCCCTGACACCTCAGAAGAGTTTTGCACTACAATATTTCACCCTTGTTTTTATTTGGAAATCTTCCAGAAATTCTAAGCATGTAAAATAACTCATCTCTTCTTCCTGATCAATTACAGAATCCTAAGACACCATGTCTTCAAGCACCTGATGCTTCACTCAGTCAACAGACATCAACAACTTCCTTATTTCGATCTCATGAAGCCAAGCCAATCATCCTTTTGTCCTTACATCACTGAAAACTGACGTAGGAAGGTCACAGTGACCTCTGGGTTGTCAAATCCAATTCTTAGTTGTTCTCATCTTACTACTGCTCAGGGACTCTTGGCACCAATTATCAAGCTCTTACTGACACATCTCTTCAGTTGGCATCCATCTCACCCTCCTGTCTTTCCTCCCACCTCATTGTTTGTTCTTTCTCAGTCTTTTTGGGCTGGGCCCTTCCTGATCTCTGAATGTTAAGAGCCCTTGAGGGCTTAATTCTCTTCCACTACCCATCTATCCCACTGCTTTTCCTTTCCTTCACTTAACATCTAACTTTGAAGCTGGTTTCTTTTATTTGAGATGCTGAAGTTTGAGTTGAGCTCTCAAGGAAGACTTGAGTTGGCCAAGGAAGAAGACTGACATATTTCTTAGGCATCCAGAAGGAGAAAAGAGGCAAAGGTTATACAGCAGAAGGGAGCAGCGCCAGGTGAATTTAGTTGGTCACTTTAAAATTTGCTTATGGAACAGGTAGTCAATCAAAATAGATAATGGGATGGCAACTCCATCTCATTCTCTCTCTCCCTCTACCTCTT